AGTGTCACGCCAGCAAGCTGTCGGGCACCGCTGTGCAGGGAGCATCCTGGGTGGATGGTGTGTTGTTTTACTCAAAACAACTCGAACTCATGTACTCCATGCGTTTGGACTATCGGGCTTTTACATAGGTGCAAGGAGTATGAAGGCAAGCGGATTGATGGTCAAACCAATGGAGTGCAAATGTTCCCAAACACTCTGAGAGAGTTTGAGCCTCTGTCAAAAGCTCGTGCTCCCCGTTTTCACGGGCGAAAAACAAGGACCCAATAATACCTAATTATATTAAACCCCACATGCTTCCACAAAAAAAAGCAATCAAGAACACCCACACTGTAGGACCAGGACCAGGCAAAAAATCAGGACATTCACACAGGTACCAGGGGGGCCAAGGGGGTGAGTCCCGTCTAAGTGAAAAGGTCGGTTCTTCTCGAGCCGTTCGAGCGCCCAAAGGGCACTGAAATGCCATGTTTCTAGCGATGGGTCCACAGGTGAAAAAGGATGCTGGAAGAACACCAAAACCCGTTTGCCTTCAAAGACCATTTCAAAAGAATGGTTGACCTGGTGGTGTAGTGCAAACATCCTTAGTATAACATTGGTTCTTGGTAAAGATTGGATATAATAACTAAAACAATGGTGTTGTTCGAATCCTAGGGTAAAAAGACTGGAACAAATACCAAAATCATCCAACATACATGAGCGGGGTGCTTTCTCGGATCCCGCTGTGATCCGGAGGTCTGCAGGATACTCTGTCATGGCGGCCAGGGTATGAATCTCATGCAGTACACCCGGGCCATTTTGAAGCCTTTTCAAGAATGTGTGCAGTTAGGAGTTAGGATCATGAAAGATTAAAGCACAAAGAAGAGAAACCCTCCCCCTTCTCCAGTTCTCCAGTTGATTGGATCCATGATATTCTTCTGGTGCGAGTTGTATCGCCTGGCTGGTTTTCTCTCAGGCTGGCTCTGTGCAGGATCATCTCGCTGTCCGGACATCGGTCCCAAGCCGCGACGTGAAACACCCTGGAGGCACGACGAGGCGGCATCTTCCGCGTCTGGACCTGAACATGATCCACTTGGAGAGGCATGGTTAGCAAGTGTCCGAGATGGAATTGCTTTCAAGTCCCTGGAAGTCAAAGACCATTTTTAAAATGGTTGATCTGGTTTTGTAGTGTAAAACCCTTAGTAAAACAATGGTGGTTCGGTAAAGGCTATTAAAACAATGGTGGTTCGACTTCCAGGGAAGTGCTACTTACACGCATCCTCCCAATCCGAAACCACCAAATGACGCTCATCCATCGTGCCGGTCCAGTCGAAACGCACATCGCCTGGATTCGAAACCAAGCGAACTGGCGTCGCCTCCAGGGTTCCACGGCGAGGTCCACTTTGGGTGGAGTCCAGGGAGGGGAAGTCAGTCGAGAAAAGAAGTGGCACCACTCTGCCATCCTGCTGCATACTGCCGCGGACTGAAACACCGGCCTGGTGTTGGAAGACCCAGAAGAAAACCTCTTTAAAACGAGGCTATGCAAACTATCTATAGACACCTCTTGGAAGGTGCTGGTATTTGGTGCAAACATGTCATTTCTTCAATACATCGCCCTCTGGAATATGGACACATCGGTGTATGAAATAGGGAGGTCGACCTCCCAGGCAACGACCGACCCCTCGTTCGGAAGGTTCGGGTCTATGTTCTCACGATTGATTGGGAGGTCTCCCTACTACACGACACCCACACCGGTGGATTTGTGGAGCCCAAACGCGACCCCCTAACGACGCCCGACTGGTCCCGAACCAAAACCTGGGGGATTGGTGAGAAGGTCCGCACCCCTCGAGAGGATTCGGGTCCGGTCCCTACTGAACGGAGGGACGGGAGGGGTCGCGTCTGGGAGGAACATTCCGTCACCATCCGATCGACGTCAGCATTTTCTAGCTAAGCTGGTGAGTCAACCCCCCTGGAAGGATCTCTATTCCTATAACAGTGGATGGTTAGAAAAGGTCAACTTAGAAATAGTGATTTATCGTGAACGGACTGTATACAGGTAATGGGACACCCCCGCGCTAGCTCTACAGCTTTGAGAGCCAAAGATTAATGCTCTTGGGGGTACCTGAAAAGGGCTATTCCTTTACATTCACTATTAATATTGATTCTGCCCCTTGAGCTGTCGACATTCGACCTCAAGAAATGGCTGAAACTGATGAATGGGACTCTTCAACTCAGCTCTGAGCTCGCCAAGAGAGGTTGAGAGACCTGAACGTTCGGACCCTGGTCTGTGGTACATATGGGATGGGCTATGGGGCTGTTCAACCTCTTTAGGTCTCTTGCGTCCTTGAAAAACACTGCGGGACCCAGCCGGTGGACGTGACGGTCGACCATGTTCACCCGACGGTCCGACGATGCCAAACAGCGGTCCGACGAGTCTACCCAGCAGGGAACCCATCGGGAACGTGGATGTTCACAAACATCAAGCCGTGGCCACCCCTCCCTGGAATCCTCCATTGAAATATTGAAATTGCTGCTCGTAACGGGTTGAGACACGTTTTTCCGCCACTCGCAGGCGCAGGTGTCCAACCACGAAAGAAAAGACAAGCAGCAGCGGGGTCAAGCGGTGGATCTGCGGCGAAGTCTCGTTTCGACTGAGACGACGAGCGGTCTGCGGATCCCATGCAGATCGGTGCTTAACATTTGCTCCGTTGGTAGCGTCCTTGCTCCTACAGTAGTATGGGCAGGAGCCCCATTCGTAGCTTCTTGCTCCGTTCATAGCAATTGCCCTTTGCTCCGTTCGTAGCGTCCTCAAATAGGAGGGCAAAGGCGAGCATTTGCCGAACAACCAGCTGCTTTACCAAGGATTTTACACTATATCCAGGTGAACCACTTTTAACATGGTCGAACAAAAGGTTAGGGGAAATATGAGCCCTTTCCCCAAGCTACAACTATAGACCAGTCCAGTTGGACCTTGCCAAGCCGGTGGATTTCGACAGCACCAGAAGGAAAGCGAAACGGCCACTTCGCCGGACTATCCAGGATTTCCAGGGGGGGTGCACATGGACACCCCATGGACACCCATGGACACACCCGCCCATGGATGCCTCTTGAAAGAGGAATTAGTAAAATTGGACACCCCGGTACCATGGATGGATGGTTTCACGATGGAGCTGTGGTCTGTCTTCCTCAGGGTGCACACTCGCCATGGAGGTTTGTGGAGGATGAGCCCGTACACCGAAGAATTAATATACAACCGTTATCAATTATATTGATTGACATAATATATTATCCTGTGTATATTAAGGACTTTAAATTATATAGACTACGAAACCACATCAAACCGAACTCTTTGTTTAGTACTCCCAAGGCTGCGGCTTTGGGATTCTGGTGGTTTTGTCATGGATCAGATTCTTCCAGAAGCTTGTTCTCCTCGAATTCCGCTCCTCCTCCTACCCTCAGATCTATATATACCTCAGTTCTGTGTCGTGCATACTCTGGGTGCCCTGTCGTGTTTACGTAGCCTAGTCCGACACCCATGTCCAGGATGGTCCTGGTAGACCAGATGCTTTCTCTCTTTTTCAAGCAACCCCAAGAGAGGTTAAGAGACCTGAACGTTCGGACCCTGGTCTGCGATACATCTGGCATGGGCGCGATAGCAAGAGGCTCTGAGCCACCTGTCGACGGTCCCGTCGACGGACTCGTCCGTCGACCGTCCTCCGATCGCACCGGTCGCCGGGCGCCGCGGTCGCCGATCTGCCGTCGGTCGAACGGAGCTCGGAGGTCAGCCTCCAGGAGGTCCTGGAGCCTCCAGGTCCCCACAGGTCCCTTGTCTGACCTGTCATGACGCATGCGTGAGCTGAGGTCATGGCGTTGTCCCAACCAACGGCCCAGCGAACACGGAGGGTTTCCCTACAGGATCCAGGCCGAAGGTATCACGACGATCCGTGGGCCATGGGGATCATGATCATGTCAGTCTGGTCCTCTGAGCGACACAGTAGGGCCCTTAAAGTCGAACCATCAGATATATTTAATGGCATGTACCGAACAACCTAGCTATATACTTAATTAACCCTAGGGCTCCAGTTGTACCTCCTCAGGTTCGGTATGACTGGACCCGACTGGCTGGCACCCGGGCCCCGGTCGTGCCACCGAACCGAAACGAAGGCCCGACTGGAGCCCTAGGGTCAGGATTTTACACTACAAAACCAGATCCCTGGTTCTTCATTAGGTGACGAAACTTGATCTCCTGGTTGGTTCGGTCCCTGTTTGATGGGTCACAAAGTCCGGGACTCCATGGAGTCCGGTTGGTAGCTGGTCTTTCCACCGAGGTGTGGAGCAAGCGAAAACAAGCCCTCCTGCGCCTCCGTCACAACAGGTCCTAACACACTATGGTTTTGTTCTGCGGGTGAACTGAGGCTGAACCCTGCAACATCTGGTGAACTGTGGCTTCGCATCGCATGGTGGCCAGCATGGCGGCCAGCATGGCCATCATTCCTGATACGATTCGCCCAAGATGGTTCCAACGCCATCTGGACCTGGACAATAATCGGAGAAATCTACAAAGGAATCCTCTTCCATTCCTCTTTGGAGGAATCTTCCTTAGAGTGTTTTTTGTTGATCTGCAGTGTGAAAAACATCTATTGGAGTCACATTCTTATGTTTGAGTCTGTGGATGTTTCTCTATATAGTTTTCTGCTTTTTGTCTGATCTATCCCACGGGCGTTTTTACACAAGCTACAGGCCTTTTATTGGTGAACCACGGGCATTTTCCTCGAACATGCTTTTTCAGCGGATGTTTATTTTGGTTGCGGCTCTTTTACAGAATTGCATAGAATTGCCCTTTTAAAGAGTCTCATTCCCATACCCTACAGGCCCTACAGATCCAGGTCCAATCTCCTGAAAAGCTCATTGAGTAATTTGTGCTTTTCTATGACTAACTCTTGGATTTGTTTAAGGAACCTGGAAGGAACAAATCACCAGAAGGGGATTTGACCATGAAATATAACATCACATGATCAGCAGTTCTCCAGGAACTCCAGTAAAATCAGGTCCTTCGCTGACCTGTGGGGATATGCCCCGAAACACTCCTCTGATGCCACACGAGCTACTCGCATGGATTTGCGGATGAACAGGACTATGGACCGAACATCCGCTCCGGGCGCAAATCGTGCGTGCGTGCTACGAAGAGTGTTGGGCCTGGCACGGGTATGGAGAAGGATGGAGAGGTCTTCCAGGATTGCTATCACCCTGAAAAACATCTATAGAATTCACCATGCTCACACAGTGTTCATTTACATGAGGCTCCAATCAGGGTTCGTTTCAGAGGTAGGCAACATATTCCATCCATGGATCGTGGAGCGGTCCCCTCTTCTCTCACCTTTTTACTTCACCAAGGAAGTGTCGGTTGGATCGGTGCTCGGGGAAGCGGTGTCGGTCCTCCAGCCCTTTCCGTGGAACAACTCAGCCATTCTTCCGTGGCTCGGTCCTCCATCTGGACACATCACTTGGGAACATGCAGAAACCATGTGTCTCCCTAGAAGTCCAAAGACTATATTTTGACCGACTGAAGTAAAGGAAATTCCTGAACTCGGGTCACCTAGTCAGACCATTCTTTTTATAGTCTTATTTGACTCCCAGGGTCTAAAACGTTCCCAAGATTCCACGGTCTTCAACACCCCCCGAAAAACATCTCCTCACGGACCCTCCTAAGTCAGAGACAGGATGGGTCCAGGGTCTCAAATCTGCTTTTGAGGGACCTGTCGGGTTGTGAACGGAGCGTCTGAACCACCAGCCTGCCTTTCTGAACCCAGCCACAAATGGAGAATACCCCTTTCCATTCCCTTAGATTGAATGTCCATTCACTTAACTTGAATCCCTAGGGATCCAAGTACCTTCTCAGGTACGGTGATGTGTTCGACACTGTGATGTAGGTGCCAGCCAGTCGGGTCCAGTCGTACCTTCTGAGAAGGTACGACAGGATCCCTATAGTTGAATGTAACTTCCATCCAGACGGCCAATCTTCCTGTCCAGATGGCCGGAGGGCCCCGCCCCGAAATCGGAGGGAAGGACCAGAAGTGAGGAGCTCGATGCCGTGCGAAAAATTTCTTTCACCCAAATCGCACCGCGGGGGTTCCCGGTGAACTCGTTTGGTTGGGAGACGACGGTTCGTAGCTTCCTAGTGAACACGTCATGCCCTTGGTTACTGGTTACTGGTCGCGATGTTGGACGGCCATGGACGGCCATGTCCTTGCCACCCCCAGACCGGTCAATCTAGGCCTCTCTGGCTCAACACCACCGGAAACCCGTGGTGTTCGTCACGTACTCGCAGCGTTCTGCATCTCCTGGACTGCACGAAGGGGGGGGAGGCCTGAATGAAGGGCCACACAAATCATCTATAGCAGCACCGACTTCACAGGTCACCACTTCCGTAGCTTCACCGGACTCCATGACCAAACAGGCCTCTAGGTGACCTCAACTTGAGATATCAAGTTAGGTCACCAAATGAAGAACCAGGTACCAGCTGCCCCCGGTCCAAGGGGGTCAGGCTGGATACCTCCACACGAGGTATACACAGGTCTCCAGACCTGTTTACCCCGACAGGAAGCGCTATAGGTAGACTCGAGTTTTTCACGAACCATCAGCAACCCTCCCACCCATGCAGGTCACTGGTTTCACGCGCGACCCGCTCCCTGATGCAAACTGCACCCATGACACTGACCCCATGGGGCTCCCTCATGGCGTCAACCAATACCACGGTATGACATCAATGATACGCACGGTATATATACCTGGACCCGACTGACCCAGTACCTCAGAAAATGGGACATCACCCCATAAAAAAACAGGTACTTAGTGTCCCTATTTTCCGAGGTACGAACAGGTCGACTCCAGGTATAGAACGCAGTGGTTCTTTTGATGTGTGTTCGTCTACGAGGATTCTGACTCACCGTCCGCCAAGTCGAAGCGTCCGAGACCTGTCATCCTCTCTTGACGTTCCTCTCTCTCATCCATCTCTCCATCCCCACTTGCGGGATCCTTCTGCTTCATCCGGAAGGACTTGCTGGGACGAATCTTCTTGGCCACCTGCTCAGCGCGCGACGAGACCGTCGCGGGGAGCTCCACGTGCGCTTCGCTCGCTCGCTCGCCCGACCGAGCGGCTGAGCTCTCCACATGCTCGAGCTAGGTGCTACACACCACCACTATCTGTAGTGGGGCGGGGTCGTACCAGGATTGACAGCGCCCCCGGGCCCCAGTGGGATTTGGCATAAATGATCAAGCTAGGCATATCTGTTCGTAGTTGGAAGTTGGATGAAGTTGGAGGTATCAAAACACCAGCGCGTTGCGACGGTTCTGCGAAATGCCTTCTCCGACAGGGATCCCGAAGGCATCAAACCACATGACTCTTGGTTGCGACTAGGGTTGACAGAAATCTGATTCTTTGTGCTTCAACTTCAACTGCCTTCATGGTGACCTTGGCACGTCACCAAAATGGTGGATGCGCGTCTGCGCGTCTGCGCACGTCTGCGCACGTCTGCGCACGTCTGCGCACGTCTGCAGCCGCTGCGCTTGGCCGCCCTCGCAGACCGGACACCCGCGCCTGTCCGGGGTGCTGAAAGTGGCAAAACTCGCAGCGGATCCCCTTCTCACAGACATTGCGGAACCTCGGAGAAGGCCGACCGCGCAGAGAAGGCGATCGGCCGACCGCGCGCTTCTGCTTCTGGCGGTGTCGGTCCGGTGGCGGACCTCGTCTCCTGAGACCTGTGCTTTGAACCTAACCTGGGTCCTGTAGAGTCTGATGCTAACCTTCAAGAGGCTATCCTTCTACCCTGAACGCTTGTGAGCGAAGGCACGAAATGGCACGAGTGTGTTCGAAGTACTGCAACAAACTCTATGCCTTAATTGGGCCTAATGGATCATGATACACTTTCCACGTCGTAACAGCATGAATTTGATGACCCAAAGGGATCGGACATGACCGGACCCCAAATTCCTGGGTTTTCAGGGACCAAGGAGGGCTGTGCACGTGGTTTTCCCAGCAATACAGATCCGATCTCAAACGACAAGACATCGGATCCCGGTTTCTCGGAAAGAAGTCGGGAGAACGAAGGTTTGGGTATATAGGGATTGGAACAGGCGGAAAAGGAAGCCCAAGTCGGTTTGGCGTTTCACGTGTTCGAGGACCAGATCAGAAAGAAAGGCACTTCGTGGGTGAACCGTTTCTGAAAATGGTGCTTCTTTAGAGGCTTGGAGGGAAGGTCGCCATCCGAGAGCCCTGATTGGAGGGAAGGTCCTCTCAACTAAAGAAAACCACTGCGGAGGTTGCATGTCCTCCTCAAGTGTGGGGTGTGTAAAATTGCATGTGTATAATCTAAAAACAGAAGGGGGGCACCCTGAGAATGCATGTTTTCATCAAATCATATATATTTACATACATATGACATATGCTAACAATTTCCGTTTGGGCACATGTGCAAAAAACCATTTCATTCATTCCTTTGCAACCACTGGCAATTTCTGCTTAGGACATCTGCAATGATTGCAATGGTTACAATATACACATGATCAAAAAGTGCTGAAAAGTATCTAAAACACAAACAGAAACCCCGATTCCAGACCCCAAGGCCAGGAAAAAAAAAAAAACATAAAATAAATAGACCAAAAACAAAACCTTCTGCTTAGGACATCTGCATTGACTGCACCTGTTAAACACATTAACAAATATTGGCTGAACAAAAATTAAGATAACAAACAGAAAATATGATTCCAGACCCCAAGGCCAGGAAAATATGCACAAAAAAACCAAAAACACACCAAGGCCACCAATTTCTTTAGTTTGTTTGACTCATAAATATTGTTTTCTTGGGGTTTTGGCTGGTCTGCCGACAGCAATGGACAAACCAAAGAACAAACAAACCAGTCAGACCTATGTCCCCGGTCCAGCCTCTCCTCTGGCATGGGTCTAACTTTTTTTTGTTGTTTTTTTGTGTTTGCTGCTTGATTGTGCTGGTCCGCAAAGGATGAAACGCACAAAACGAGAAGTGTACACTTGACAGCCGCTTTCAAGCTCAAAAAGTTGAGCGACCGATCTGCAGGTTATGAGCCCAACTGTGCTGTGAGCGCAGTTGGCAGCCATGGCGACGCAAAGGCGACGAAGACAGCAGCCGGGCGAGGATGCACCTGGAGACAAGGACGAAGTCCACACGGAAGACGAGGTTGAGGGGCCAAGAGGACCGCCGACGACTTTGTCCCCTGTGGTGCCCCTGTTCACGCCAGAGCAACTTCGAGGACTACATGAGGTACAAGAACAAGCACGGAGTCCAAGACAACGCGATGGAGTACCGGAAGAGGACCCACGTGGACCTTCGGATGAGAATTGAGAATGGAAAGATCATCCAAACAAGTATAACGACGGGTACACCCTTGCCACATGGAGGAGCTCCGGTACACGGTGAACCTCATCGAGGGCGGCCAGTGGAACCAAGGAAGGTTGAGGAAGGAGATGGTCGAGGGCCTGCTGGACAAGTTCGAGGTCACGATCAACTTGCGCTACAAGGACCTGGAGGACTATACATCTAGGGATGCGCTTCAGCCTGGAGGCCCTCTACTACAGGTTCATGGCATGACGCCACCAGCTCCTGGAGGTTGGCAAGGGCCGGGGTCTCGCTATGGCGTTGGGCAAGAGAACCAGGTGACGATGATGCAGATGTTCGCAATGCTACGTCAAGAGAATCACGCACTTCGAGCTGAACAAGTGGAGCTGATGGAAGAGATGAAAAATCAGCAAGCCAGCTTTGAAGCGAGGGTGCACAATCTTCAACAGACGTTCCGCACACCGGAGAGTAGTACAACCTTCTGGCAATGGCAAGGGTGGCACTGCGTCTGCCAACCAGGGAGACTACTACTGCCTCGGCTTCCAGCTGATGGAAGTGATGGCCAAACTGGCCACCCACCTCGTGGAGAAGGAAGGAAGAAGGGCCAGAGTCCGTGAAGCCGGGTACGATGTCATTGCCGGCACCTCCTGAACCCGGTGACACGTCTCCCATTGACCTGGCAGACTGGCTCACAATGATTGAACCTGCCATGACCGATTTGAGCGACTCATCGGGAGAGTGGTGGGATTTGGTCATCGGCGAATCGAAAAGGTTGTATACCAACTACCAACTACATCCACTTGCGACCTCTCAAGGACAACCAGCACCATCGAACCTTCCGCTGAGCTTCGGCGATCCAAATGGACAAGGGTGGAGAAGGATCCCAGCCACGGTCAAGGAAGAGCTGATCGCGACGAAGGCATTGACTCCGCTGCATGAAGGTGATTGCGAAGCTGATGACGTTGTACCAGCCTGGGGGGGATTCACGAGATTAAGTCGGTCATCCTCCAACAATTAGAAAAGACCCTCAGGAAGCCAACAACGTGGGCAAGGCGGTGACTTCCTTGAGACGATGGATGAGGGCGGCCGACATCGAGCTGAGCCTCCCGGATTCCACCATCCACCGCCAGCCGCTCTGTGGATTGGGGAACGACCCGACTATTCTTCACCTTCGTGTTCCTTCCCCACCAAACTAACGAGAATGTGCTCCCACGGGGGGAGGGGGAATGGAACGGTGATCGTCGCACCAGGAAGCCTCGCGTCAAGCAGATGATGCTTCACGAGGGGTGCTTCGCTGGTGAACTTTCCGACGTGTTGCTGCTTGAGAGCTTCCGTGAGGTCGACCCATCCTTCACGTTCATGCCACGTAGGAGCTTATTATGTGCCTCCTCCAGGACCCCCCTTCAAGCCTTCTGAACCACCCGCTGACGAGTCTGCCGGCTCAGAACCACATGTAGACGGTGCCGAAGGAGGCTGTGGTGACTAAGATGTCCCTGAGTCATTGGACGAAGACGCACCTGTTCCCTTTCCTTGAGCTTCTGGACCCGTGGCTTCCCTCCTGTCCTTGTGTGGACACTCCTTGAACTTGGCGAAGTGTTGAGTCGACCCACATGTGACGAAGCAACGTCGTTCTGATATGTTCTGATCCCTCTGCCTGGCGGGGCCACTTGCAGGTTTGACCCCGCCTGCAACCAGCTTCAGTGTTGTAGTACTTGCATACCCCCTTTCCAGGTGAAGCCTCAGGCTTCTTCTTCTCTGACTGCATGGCCTTGACTTGAGCATTGCCTGCAGCCGTAGGTTTTGAAGTGCATCATCTGCTCCAGCTCCGCCAGCAGGTGTTCTGCAAAGGTGCGCACCGTTTCTTGCGTAGGCACTGTGTCCAGTTGTAGTGTGCTCCGAATCAGCGAGCAGCGAAGCTGAAGCTCTTGCTGTTGCTGTAGCACCTTGCGACTCAGCTTGCTGACCCCCTTCAGGATGGTGCGGCGGCCATGTCTGAAGGAGTGTGCAGTGTAGACAAAAAGTGAAGGCGCAGGCAAAGAAGCTTGAAGCCGAAAACTGCGCGAGAATGGCGGCAGTCCAAAGGAATCCGAGTAGACCACCTGAATTTCGAGATTTGAGACAGATGAACCGTTCCTAAAAGACCGACACTACAATAACAAGTACATTGAGGGTCACTTCTCCCTCCATCCCTGTTTGTCGGGCACCAACTGACGACATTAACAGGCGACTCGTCTTGGAGCATCTGTCGCCCCCGGTGTTCGAAACCAGGTATTTGCCCACAAGTTTTAATCTGACTGGCCTGGGCAGACCAGCAGAAGAGGGGGTGGTTAGATCCCCCAAAATTCCAAAGTGTCCAAGGGCGGGGTTGGCAGAGTAGCCAAGTAAGAAACTATTTCTGGGCAAAGCGCATGGCAATCCAAAGCCAAGCCACTCCACGCCACAGCAATGAACATACATGGGCCGCCGTCTCCACCCTTTTCAGCCCCATATATCAGCAATCATACTTATGCATGCAAAAGACACGCGTTTACATATGGAAGGAAGGCACATTCAAGAGATATATTATGATGTATAATCTCTGTATAATATGTCTTAATATGTATGTATATTAAATCAACACATAACATGAACAACATATACTATAATATTATATCTATATGTTATATAATGTTATATATATATGTACATATATATCTGCATTGTATATAAAAGCATGAAACATGTGTATACATATATACCGCTAGATCTTAACTTTAACTAACTAACAATAAATATATACACACCCAAGCACTGGGTCTCTTCCTCCTCACGAAACTGAACGATTTCACCTGGCTGCCTTCTTGAAAAGAGTAGCACTGACAGCAAACACATTGAAGGCACAAAAGAAGAAGCAGCTTCATGCTGCCAAAAGGATGTCAGTTGTTGGCTCTTTGATGGAGACCCAAAAAAACAGCAGAAAGGTCTTGCTTCTTCACTTTACACTGCCGGCCTCTGAAGTAAATCCATCGAAACCAGATTCATCCATTTGAACAAGCAGCTGAATGCCTTTAAACTCCAAAGGCAATAGAATAGCTAGGGCGCCGCTGCATCTGACTGCAGTTAACTCTAAAGAAAAGAGGAAGTCAAGCAGAGCATCGGAAAACCAAGCACACACTATAGAGATCAAACCTGTTCATTGCTGCTGAAATGAAGCAACAACGGTAATACTTCTACAGGAAGCATGAGGCAGCAGCGGAAATCTACAGAGCTAATCCATGTCAATCCAGTCAACTCTGGGAAACAGCCATTTTCACACAGGATCACCTCCTTCGTCCAAATCGAGTTAATCCAATCAGTCGTCCCAATCAACCCCTCTCTCCCCCTCTTGGTCAAAGACACCAGAAAATGCAGCGGCTACAATGATCCGGATGCTTTAGGGCTCCGATGGACGTCCTGCCCGGCGGACTGGGAGCAGGCGGCCGTATACCCCGCCGAGCTGGGACCCGGGAGCAGGCGGCACGACCCGACCACATGGGAACCTGCACCGTCTTCCGACCTGCTAACGATTCGGGTTTCACAGCGCCAGGTGCCACGGGCCGCCGCCGGGCCTAGACACATCTCGATTTGGAAGACACCTTAGTTTTACGATACCCGGCATCTTCCAACTATATGCAGAATTTCTGCCTGTTCATCCATACAAGCAAGCTATAGTTGGCAGAAATTCTGCATAGTTGGAAGATCCAGTGGTATTTGTTCATTTTGCCATGTCCTCCAAGTCATGACGTCGATTGGATTGAGTGAAAAAAACGTCCGATGCTCACCCCTGGACCGAGTGCCAGTCTAGCCGATGCTTAGGGGGCCCAAAGCCATTCCCAGCATGTCGTTTTCTTTCGAAAATGATCATGTGCTTTTGAAATGGACATCCCAGACGCGACCCTCGAGAATATTCTTCTTGGGCACTCTCCGGACCTTCTCAGCCAGTTTTGAGGGACATCACGTAGCGTCGTTCACGGAGCGTCTGGGATGGACATCTCAGTTTTCTTCACTTTCCTCCCCAACTTCCGTGGCTTCTCTACTCCGCTGCGCCACCGCGCCACCGCGCGGCCCGTCGCCGGGCGCACCGTTCGCCCTTCTCGTTGAGCGGCACCACGGCAGCCAGCTCTGCGTCGGAGAGCTTCATCAAGTCCAGGCCTTAAAGCAGCAGCTTCGCGCCGGTCAACGCGGAGTGCACGGTTCGGTGCGCCGAACTCGTCCAGGATCCGAAAAGGGTTCCGCAAACGCGAGCCCGACCACGACGCCCGACCGTTGGTCCCGAACCAAACCGGGATTGGCTTCGAAGGTCCGGACCTCCGATTCGGGTCCGGCCCCTACTGAACGGAGGGTCCAGGGTCGCGTCTGGGTAGATTAACGAAGACGACCGAAAAACCGTTCGAAGTCCGGTGGTTTTGGGTCCTCCGGTCCAACTAACCGCATGTTCTTCGCGGCGTTTTCCAACAACGACACTGATCCTGCATGCACTCAAGCGCCACTTCGACCGGCACCGGGGAACCCTCGGCCTCGGAGGGGTTTCGGCGGTGCTCGCTCGTCGCTCGTCGCTCGAGGTGCCATTCTCGTTGAGGAAGGGCTTGTCGGGCGTCGGCGGCTGCAACACCGCCTTCTTGGGCACCTGGACCACGTCGCCGGAACTCATGGCGCGTCCACGGGCGTGGGAGTTGGGGGTTCGTGGGAAGCGGCCCTTCAATGAGGTCCGACCGGTGGTCGGGCCGAAGAGGGCGATGACGTGACTGGGGGTGGTGAGGTGCCCCGCTCGGCGATCGGCGTGGGAAGATCTAGGTCTAGGTCTGGCTCCGTATGGAAGATCATGGGGGGTGTGAGGCCAACCCAAGTAAGTTCCATGATCTACGACTCCGTGAGAAGTCGCATGCCACCAAATGAACAACATCTTCGGACCTTTTGGTTGCGGGCGCCGGTCCAATGCCCGGACCTCGCTAGCGGTTCCGGTGACCGTCCGAAGCTGCCGTCATCAACGACCGCCGAGGGGTCCATCCACGACCGAAGCTTAAGCGGCTTCCACCAGCGACCCACCCGAGGCAGGCCACCCGACCCAAACCGACCATGAAAAGAATGGCACCATCCGCACCTGGTGGTGTAGTGTAAAACGATGGTAGCCCTGTTATAGAGGATTCGACCTAGTCTATGGAGGGACCAAGGATCCTTAGGGTCAGCTATAAACAGCTGGTTCTTTGGGCTTCAGACCATTCAAACAGCTGCGGAGGGGCACGAATCCTTTAAGACATGACATGTGACCAACGACACACACTGCAAATGACGGAAGAACCGACTCCGATGTGACAAACATGTTCTGACTGGGCTTCCTCCGTTCGGAACCGGCACCCCTTTTCAAGGAAACTCCTGGTCTGTATGCTCTGCCTATCGAATCTTGAATTTGGTTGAAGAACCCCGCCAAAAGAGCCAGGGACAGAACCACGCTGGGCAAAGATGTCCAGCCATGACTCCAGTACCACGAGCTTCGCGTTCGCTTACTCTTTGGATTCCTCACATTTCTTGAGCCACATGCAGCCACATGCCAATAAAGGAAAGGCCTCTTCAATCAATGCTCCTCCTCCCCACCCGGGTTAGAAGATTCCTGTAAAACAAACGCCGCGCAGGCGCGCAGGCGACGCGACGCGCAGACGCGCGGACACTGGCGTGCCTTGTCGGCGGGCGGTCTGGATTGCGACCTAAGTTGGTCGAACTGGTCGGAGCACCCGACGTCGGAGGCCTCCATGTCGACTCCGAACTCTTTAACCCTAGGCCTTCGGTTCGGTGGGACGACCGGGGCCCGGGTGCCAGTCGGGTCCAGTCATACCGAACCTAAGGAGGTACGACTGGAGGTGTAGGGTTAGGTATTGGAGACCCATGTCCAGCATCATCCACCACCTTCCAAGGTCACCAATGAAAGCACTGTCACTACTCAGTGGATCTCCTTTGGGCAGCCTTGGAAGCTCCAGGCAGGTACGTTTGGAGTTTGAGGACCTTCAGTACATGACCGTCCTTAAGATCGAACGAGGTCACTTAATTAGTCCCTAAACGAGGTCACAAGCAGAGGTCACAAGCTGTAGAGGTCACGGACTGAAGGTCCTGCTTCTTGTTTTAAACTTTTGCAGCCTTCAGTGGTCCATATGACTGCAGGATGAAGAGAGGCACGCCGGATGACCCGCCCTCGTCGCGAGGGACGCCCAGACTGACCAATTCAGCCGACTGAGCACCAAGTCCCACCCAAAAGAAGTGACGGAACTGTTCCCAAACCCACTCCATGGGGCTGCCATAGGACTGCCACCCCATTGACCCCCCGGTCACCACCCCAAAGTACCAGCAGATCCCAGGCGAGTTTCCAGGAACCAGGGGCCCTTCGTTCAGTTTTTGGCTTTAGTCTTTGGAACCACTGGTTACCAGCGACATCGCGGGTTGCCTGGATGCCGGAAAGGTAGCCCCCCAACCAAACGAGAGGCGTTCCACCTGAGTCCTCCACATCTGATCGTCTTCCAGTCCGGTCCATAGTCCAAGCCATCAGGTTCCATGTGTGGGTCTAGAACACCGGGTGCAATGGCGACAGCAAACAGAACAGGATGGTCATTTTTCCTGCCCTAAGACTCCGGGCCCTCAAACAGATAGGGTTTAGGGTCACCCCGGACCCCTGCCAGAGGGTCCAACCCCTGCCATGGACAGCCTAAGGATTCTTAGGGTGTAGAAAGAGGTGGTGGTGTTCCACTTCCCATATGATTCTGTGAGGGAGTCCCATCCACGACACATGGGACTGGAATATCTATGCCGTCCCAGTCTAAGACCCCCCAAACCACCACCACGCTCGGCCGCTTCTCGGCAGTCCGTCCTGGCAGCCCCAGATGGGTTGCGTCGGGGAGTATCTCACATTTCGAGGCTGTCAACAGAGGTTAAGTGACCTGAACTAGGACCTACTGGGGTACCTATAGGATAGCCTATAGGGTTCTTCAACCTCTGCTGGTGGTTTTGGGGCTTTCCAGCAGAGGTTGAAGAACCCGAACTGGAATAGACTATCCTATAGGTACCCCTGGTGACGGGTCCTAGTTCACTCAACCTCTGTAGGTTCACCCTCACTCACCCACTCGACCTCTTCGTCTCACCCCCCGGGTCTGCCGGACACTCCTTCCCGATTCTCCTGCGCCGCGGGCGGCGCCTAGCGACCGGCGCGTGGTTTTCACGGCATGCCGGAGACAGGAACATGACATCAACTTGCGAGGGACTGGGGTCGTAGCTTCCCGTTTGGCCTCCAGTCATACCTTCGACAGAAGGTGGGCTGGTGGGACGACCGGGGCCCGGGTGCCAGCCAGTCAGGTCAACAGTCATTCCGGAACCTGAGGAGGTACGACTGGCAGGTGGGGCGGGCTTCTCAGGTAAGGTGATGTCTTCGACACTGAAACATGGTGCCAGTCGGGTCCAGTGACGTTCGGTACGCACCACGGATCCAAACACGACCTGTCGGCTGCTAGGACGGACTGCCGATCAGTCGCGGCCTTTCCCGGGGTGACCGGGGGGGGAGTTCCATGGGGCGGCAGTCCGTCCTGGCAGCCGACAGGTCGTGTTTGGGATAGGGAATGATACGTTTTCCAGCACCACGGTGTTGCCGAACCTCCATTCTTGTTTGCCCCTGGTGATGAGGAGTGTTTTTAACCGAATATTGGTATCGAGCCCCCCCCATTGGTCTTTGCATGATGTTGCAGGTATTTGCTATTGATGCACGTCTCGAGATGGAAACTATAGCTCTATACTCCAGGACCTTGCATGGATGGTGCTGGATGTGCAACAAGGGTATCAAGGCCGGTGCCCAACCGGACGGGTCCAGATGTGGAGATGGTCTCGAGCATGTTCCCGGTGCCATTTTGCCATTGAGGGTCGGAACGCCCGGAAAACCCCCGCGCCACACCTGAAAGAGATCCTTTTCGTACTGAAAACTGGGACACATGACCCCCAAAAAGAGAAGCCGTCGCAACGGACGTATTTGAGCCCGACGATGGCGCCTACTTCAATCAATCGTATCCAATCACCTTCTCAGAAGGTATGTGGATCCACCAGCACCCAGGTCGGGTGGTTTATAGACCCCCCTGAAGATGTATTTTCCATCTAATATCCACCCGTTGGGTGGTGCTGGCACAGGGTACCTATTTGACTCAGGTCGACTCCAGGTCGACTCCCCGACGCTCCAAAACTCAGAGCACTCGACCTCGGTCGACCTCTGACGGTCAGCGGGTAGCAGTGAAACAACAGGGTGCCGGTTCTGAACGGAGGATAGTAATAGTGGTGCCCCGACTTCACATCCACGGCCGCTGGATGGGATTAAGATCCCATTGCTGCAAGGAACTCCTGGAATATAGTGTCGAATTTAGAAAAACATAGAAAAATCGTCGTGCTTCGCGCTTCGTGAGACAACTGGCCCCTTGAGAATGGTGTTCGTCTTCAATTTGCGCCCAAGTTGCGCGAAGTTGTGTGCCCGCCAAAACGGTTGAAGAAAAGCCCCCAACAACATGTTCATGATCGTTTTGACATTTTGATGAATATATACTGATCATTTCTGGAACTGATCAAAACCAAACACATCCAAACCACGCGGACTGGTCCAGAATCGGCTCGGTCGTCCAAATGCCTTCGCCTACGTTCGCCTATGTTCGCCTCGTGGTTTTTTGCACGGACTTGCTCCGACGATCATACAGCCAGGCAGTACATCCAAAGACTCGAAGAGCGAAACAAAAACCCCTTTTTTTTGACGGTGAGTCAACATGTCAAAGTAGATCCTGTCAATGTGTGAACAGTGGTTTCTTCCGTAAATCGATTGTGTCAAAAGCGTGATCCCAGACTGTCCATATATTTTTGAACAACACTGTCGTCTAACGCGTTTCTATATTATCTATCCCTATAGGGATCCGTTTTCGTACAGAACCTCAGGTACGGTGATTGGAGATGATTGAAGTAGGGCGCCAGCCAGTCGGGCCCAGTCGTGCCGAACCTGAGAAAGTCTGTGGATCGCAGATCCGCCCCACGGTGACCCGACCCAGATGATCTAGAAGACACCCAAAACCCCGCACCGACCCCAACGGCGCGGGGAAGAACCATGCGCGTGGGGAGGACCGCCCGACCACGCGACCACCCTCACGCGCCTCCCAAGTCTCATGGGAGGTCCTTGGGAAGCCGACCGCTTCAGGCCGCTTCAGCTCTTCGCTGGATTTTCCAGTCATTCCCAGACACGACCCGTCTGGGACTGCCAGGACGGACTGCCTCTCGAAGCGGCCGACCGGGGTGGTGACCGGCATGTCGACCTCTGGGGCGGCAGTCCGTCCTGGCAGCCCCAGACAGGTCGTGTCTGGGATTGATTTGGAACACACCGGGCACACCGTTCCCGTTCGAGTCTGAGCCATCTTGCCATGAGTCCCATCTCTTCAGAGTCCCACACCGTCCCGGTCACCCTCCATGCGATATGCCAGAAGCGGTGGGGGATGTCTGGGGGTGTCTGGGAATGATACACCGAAACACGAGAGGTGCACTCGAGTTGGACCATGACCCTCCGAGTGCTCAATCTTAAGTTGCTGTCATGATCACCAGGCGGTGATAGAAATGGACTCAACTTAAGATGCTCACGGATAAAGCTGGTGTCTCCCAGTTGCGGCAGTAGGGTTCCTGCGGCAGTAGGGCTCCTTGGATTTGCTGTCCAGGAACAAAACACGTGCAGCTAATGTAATGGTATGGGATTATTCAACTCAGTCCGAGAACAATCACATGACGGTTTCTCCAAAGAAACATTCGACTTCGACCTTGAGCAAGCTGCTTGCAGCTTGCGGCCTGCATCCAAGACAATGTGTTTTCTCCTTTCACGATATTCATAACCATTTGTGTGTTTTGGTGTGTCGTAGGTTGGTTTTGGGTTGGATTTTCATACGCCGACTGAGTCGACTGGCAATCAAAACCCACCCCCCCAGACAAGCACGGCGGCGTTCGCCACCCGCGCCACGTCGTTCCACGTCGATGTCACGCGTGACGCTGGGCATCCCGTCGACGGCAGTCCATGCACCACCTCGCCCGGTGTGACACGTTTTCGATCACCCAAGATATCGGATTTGGCTGTCCGGGAACATCGAAAAAGAGGTCAGACGACCTGTCTGGCACTACCAGGACGGACTGCCGCACCAGAAAGACCCTCCGGTCACCACCCCTGGCCTGATCGGCAGTCCGTCCTGGCAGCCCCATGGAGTGTCTGGGATCGGGAAAAGAAAAAAACCATCACCTGATCCGCAAAACCCGGCATTGGCAAGCCCGCATCACCAATACCCAAACACTCCATGTATGCCATATATGCCGATCAGTTGGGGTGGTTTGGAGGGTCAATGGGGCGGCATATATGGCAGCCCCATGGAGTGTCTGGGATATACCAGGGCAAGGTGATTAATCAGTCAAGATCCCCAAACACTTCGGAAGAGGCACCAATCGTGGATATGCATTGGGTCTATCCCATTACCATTGCAGAACACAGGGGATTTCGTTCTTAAGGCTTCGGTTTGGTCACAGTTTCCAAAGGGGATCCCGTCGAAAAAGGACCGTATCCGGTTTCCTCACCTGGTCTCCACTCGTCTCGCGTCTAGATGCCATGGACCAAGGAAAGTCGGCACCGAACCGGGCTTCGACCTGGCTCAACCCCACCTCGCCAGCTGGTCCGTCAGTCCCCCCCCCGGCCGTGATCTGCGTTTCGGAAGGTGCGAGGCCTTTGGGGCGACCAAAGCGAGGCCTTTGGTTTTTGTTCGTCTTCGACACCTTTCCATCGACCACGTGGCCCTGGTGGTGGGATGCCCTTGGGAACCTCTCACCTGGAGGAACATGTTTCTTTATGTTTCTTTTAGACCATACGCAA